AAAAAAAAAAAAAAAAAGATAAGGGGTGAGGGAGCCAGACTAAACCATCCTGACTCCATTTTCTCTACACTGCCTTGTTCATATCTAGCACCAGAGGAACAAAGAAAAACAAGGCTCTGAAAGGACTGATGAATGCTGTGTAAATTTCCTTCCTTTTCCTTTCCAATCAAGATCAAGAATTATCTTAAATCAGGACCAGCAGATGGCATAAAGGGATCTGTCAATGGCCGGCGTTCAGCTGCCTCTCCAGGGCCGACGTGTGGCCTTTGGACCAGCAAGCTGAAGCGGAAAACAAGGTCTGAGAACCTGCAACTTGAGAAGAAGGAGAAGGGATTGCAATCCTCCCTGGGGGGGAAGGGATTTCTCACTCTCTCTCTCTCTGTCTATCCAGTGAGTGCATGTACCCTGTAGCAAAAATCTCTCTTTAAAAAAAATTATCGGGACCAGCAGGTGGCATGGTGGTTAAGGCGCTGGACACTCCCACATAGTCCACCATGGTTCAAGTCCTGGACCTGGTGGCTTGCTTTCTCACTTCTCTCTCTTTCTGTGTCTCTCTCATCAAGTTAAAAAATGAATGAACGAATAAATAAAATTAAAATAAATCTTTTTTAAAAAATTATTACCTTAAATCACACAGATATAATATTAAAGTAAGTATTTCTTCAATGGCCCCATCCTATCGAATTGCAAACGAGAGAAAAACGGGTAAAAGGTGGAAGTAACTAAAGGAAAATACACTGTTATGCAAATCATGATTACCGCAGTTGTCATCATGGAAAAAGCAATCAGAAGAAACTTCTTCATTTAACCAGCCCTTTGTAAAAGTATGAGAACCGATTTTAGCACACATAAACCTAAACCTTGAATTAAATATACCTGATCATTCTGACTTTCAAGTTGCGGAGAAAAGCTGGAAAATGCTGGGCAGGCTGCAAGGAGCTCCTGGAGTTTCGCATCGATTTCAGCAAGCTGCTGATGCTGGGTGACTGCAAATGTGTAGCCTTCTCCTGGCCCCTGCCAGCCACACTGATCACCCTGAGAGGAAAGGAGAGTTACCTGCTCATTACCATGCTGCATTTTTTCCAAATTGCACCCTTCAGACTGCTACAGGATTCACAGGAACACATACACACACACAATTAACACTGGGATAGTGAAAGAAAAAAATTTGGGTTGTCAGAAAAGTCATGATGCATTTTTTTTTCTTTTTTAAAATTATTTATTTTATTTTATTTATCATTATTGTTACCTTTTAATCTGCTACAGGACATATATGCTTACCAGAGAGAGACACAGAGAGAGAAAATAGTGAGAAAGCAAGGCACCAGGTTCGGGATTTCAACCGTGGTCAACCATGTGAGAATCCATCACCCCAACCACCATGCCACCTGCTGGCCCCCAATGACACATTTTTTTCATAGAAAAATGGAAAAATAAGCCATGACATTTCTAACAACCCAATAGCTTATGGCTTCTTTATCTGCCAACCCTGTGTGTAAAGTATCATCTTATATCTGGTGAGGTTTCTCCTTGTAGAATAAATTTCTTAGCTTTACAGTCTGGTTCTGATAACATTCTCATTTTTCTACTTTTGAAAAATGATCTCTGATCTGTTGGCAAGAAGAAATCACAATTACTTTATAATGGGCAATGATATTTTCAAACTTCGTCCCTTAAAGGTAACATGGTGGGGGACAGCTGGTGTCAGAGCAGGCAAATATGGCTCTTTGCAAGGCTGACCCATGTGGGAAGGTTCCAGAGCTATGTCCAGAGACCTGCCTAAGTACGCTGGCACACATGTACATGCCCATGATCTGGGCTGGCTGAGGCTAGGGTGGGTCTCAGCATGAAGACCTTGTTTGGAGTGCCCTCCCCAAGTAGAAAGGAAGAAAGAAACTTTTAGAAAATAATAATAGCAAAAGTGCTCACATCAGCAGCACATATACTAAAATTGGAATGATAAAGAGAAATGTCCCCTGCACAAATTTATGAAACGTTCAATATTTTTTAAAAATATACCAATAACAAAAGATATGTGGGTTCTATAAAGTTGACGTCTTTGGTTTCATGATCTTAATTGGTCATCTAACTCTTACTTAACTAACATTGGTTTCATATTATATTTTAAAACCCATTCATAACATTCACTTGAAAATCTTGTACAAAGGCCTACTGTGCCTAGGCATTACTCTGGGCACTGGTGATTCACCATGAATCTCACAAGGTTCTGCCCTCAAGGAGTTCTCAGTCTCCTGGAAGAAACCATTATAACAGGTATGAGGAGTGCTGGGCACCATGGGAACCTAGATAGTAAATTAACATCTGTGGGAGGGAGGGGCAGAAAAACAGAGCAATAAAAGGCTCGCTGGAGGACCTAGGACCTTAATGAAAGAAACACCATAATTGATTCTTACTTTAAAACTAGTGCTTGCAGGACCAGGAGGTGGTGTGATGATTAAGGTGCTGGACTTCCACACGGTTGACCCAGTGCAAGTCCCAGATCCGGAGGCTTGAAAATCACTCTGGGCACGTGTGTGTGTATGCCCAAAATCCCAGGAGAAGAATGGAAGAGAAGGGACTGCAGCATGGCCATTCTTCCTGGGAAATGATTTCACACTTTCCCTCTCACTGTCTTTCTCCAGGGGGCATATGTGCCTTACGAATTCTTTTTTTTTTTTTTTACTTTTTTTTTATTAAAAAACTAGCGCTTGCAAAGAATGTGGAAGCAGGAAAACCAGTTGAGAAGTAATGACTATAATCTAGAAAAAAAGTGATGAGTCCCTCAACTAAGAAATGTTTTCTGGGAATGTAGAACATTAAGCAGATTCCAGAGATACTTAAGAAGTAGAAATTACAGGGGCCAGCAGGTGGCGTGGTGGTTAAGGGCGCTGGACTCCGACATGTCCGACCACAGTTCAAATCCTGGACCTGGCGGCTTGCTTTCTCACTTTCCCCTCTCTCTCTCACTCTGTCCCTCTCTGGTCAAATTAAAATAAATAAATAAACAAACATGGTTAAATAAAATAATTCTTAAAAAAAAAATGAAGTAGGAATTACAGAACCTGGAGACAATTTGATGGAGGAGTAAAGGGAAAAGTACAGTTCGAAGACGAAAAACAAGTTCCCGATTTTGTGAACTAGAAGATGGTGGCCAAACTGTCTAAACAAAGGAATACAGAGGTGATGCAGAAGGTTTGAGGAGGAAGATGATGATGAGTTTGTTTGGAAACTTTTGGCATTCACAGACATCCCAAAGCTATCCAGATTGTTAGGCAATTAAATATATTTATCTGAAGTTTAAGATAGATACTTGAGCTTGAAATAAGCATTTTGGACTCACCCATAAATCTACACTGATTCTAACCCTTGCAATTATGGAAATGGTTGTGGTCATACAGAGAAGCATGAAGAGCAGGAAGAAGACAGAAGAATCATGAAGAACACTTAGAATAAAGAGCAGGTGGAGAGCAAAGAAGCTTAAGTTCATACATTTTGTTTCTGTGCCAGTAATACCAGAAGTTAATCCCTAGGCAGTAGCCAGAGCGATGGATGAAAACTTGTGCAGAAAGACTTGTATACTGTCTCCTCCTGACCTTCACATTCAAAACTCCCTCTCTGTGCCAGTGAAAGCAGTGCCTGAGTCTTAGCAGGGGAGCAGGCACTCCTTCTCCCCACCCACTGCATCAACAAAATAAGCAAATGAACTGGATTCAGGCAGTCAGAAGTGAACACCCTGAACTTTGAATCCTGAGGGAGAGGTGTAAATATTCAGGGAAATGATTCATGGTGACACACACAGTAGCAGGGAGAATCCAGTGTTGGCAGCAGTGACCGGGGCTGCAGGGAGCGTCCATTGTTTTTTATCCTTAGTCCTTACTTAACCCTTTACTCCATCAAATTATCTCCTTTAAATCTCTATTCTAATGTGTGTCACCAACTATGTGACTTCATTGAATTTCTGTGTATGATGTTTACCCCCACACCAGATAATAAAAGCACTTGCAAAAGGAACTCTTAACAAATACTAGTTTAATAAAAACTACTTTTTAAATCTCAAAAAATGGCTAAGGAGAAGAATAGACAGGGTTGAAAATCCAACTTGGAAAGCTATAAAGTAAGCTTATATGAGCAAAAGAACAATAACAACAACAACAAAGATGAGCACTATGAGGAAAATGTTATCAGACCTGGAGGAAAGATCCAAGAGGTTCTATATCCATCTGTCACGGACAATATTGACTGACCCAACTGCCCTTACTAATTTTCCTTTCCTTGCCTACCTCTGCTAATGAAACAAGGAAATAACATACCTGAATCCCCCTCCTCCCTTCATGAAACAACAAAAAATTGGCTTGGGGCCAGCAGGTGGCGCAGTGGTTAAGGGCGCTAGACTCCCACATGGCCGACTATGATTTGAGTCCCAGACCTGGTAGCTTTCTCTCTCTCTCTCTCTCTCTCTCTCTCTCTCTGTCTCTCCTGTTCTCTCTCTGTCCCCACTAGTCAAATTTTTAAATAAATAAATAAAGTTAATTTTTTTTTTAAATAACTATGTGATATAACTTGGCCCATAAGATGCAGGCAAAATTTCAAAGCATACCATACCTTCCCAAATGAAAAGGCAAAGCCTCAAAAGAGTGTCTCTTTGCCCTTGACTCTTACTCCTTTTTTTCTACCTGCAAAATAGACATTTGGCCTACAAATGTAACAGTAGCTCAAAGACAAAGTCACACTAAGAATGTGGAGTGTTAAGATAGAAAGGCACTAGTTGTTTACATCTGAACTTTTTGTTACTGAAGAAAAATGAATTCCTTTCTTGTTTAAGCCATTGTTTATAAAGTTTTCTGCTACTTGTAGCCAGTCATATTCCCAGAAGATACTCAATTTCACAGGTATTCCAAAAAGAAAGAAAAGAGAAGATACAAAGAAATAACAGAAGATAATTTCTTGAATTTAAGAAAGATTGGAACCTTCAGACAGAAAGGGCCTAAGTGATACCAAGCAGGAACAAAAAACGCTTTTAAAGACACATATAGGACCAGCCTATTGCCTGGTGGTTAATGGGACTGGGTCCTCCACGGCTGACTGAATTGTTCGCATCCAAGAATCAGAGACTTGAAAAGCATTCCAGCCATGTGGACGTGTATGCTCCAAATACTGAAGTAGGAAGAAATGGAGGAGAAAGGATTGTGGCATGACCATGCCCTATAGAGGGTGCTTTCTAGCTTTCTAGCTTTCTTTTTCTCTCAGTCTCACTCTGGTAGAGTGCAAACACCCTCTAGCAAACTGAAAAAAAAAAAAAAAAAGAAAAAACACATAACTATAATCTCATAAAACTTGCAAGAGCAAAAATAAAGAGAACATCCTGCATGCTTTCAGGGGAAAAAAAAGAATTTTTCATCTGGAATTTAATGACTCCCATTAATGATCATTGAAATTAGGAAAAAAGTAAATATATTTTTGAATATGAAAACACTCAAGAATCATCCACATACCATTTCTTGGGGAAAACATTTTTCAAAAGAATTCAAGAAAAAAATTTCAAGAAAAATGATTTATATAAATAAGTAGTTGAGTTCAAATACAAAATTAATGACGTGCCTAAAATTTTTGGCAAAATTAGGCTGAGAAAGACTCCGAAAATGCAAAAAGCACACTGTTTTTAAAGGTAAAATTAAAAACTTGTAACATTCTATAACTAAGATTCCAGATGAGTTCAATACATCCTAGAGGAAAGGAAATGGGAGAAAAGGGAAATTAAAGCATACCAAAGATCTAGCCTTGTTAAGATGAGATTTTTAGAAACTAATTATTGAAACCAAAAAGAAAATATACATTTAATGGATATAAGAACTTAAACCACATTAAACTTAATACTTTAATGCATTTAAGAACAGCAGCCAGCAGTACCAGATCAGAACAAGGACACCAAATTTCCAAACCACAAGAGGAAAATGGGACAAAGTAAAGGAAACAAAATAAACACAATAAATAAAAGATCAAATTTATTGTCAGGAAAATTTATTGTCAAAAATTATCACTAGTCATAACATACATGAATAATTTGAATAGCCTAATTAATATATAAATAATAAGAAAATAATACCAAAAGATACGCAATTATACATAAAGACACACAACAACAAAAACCATGGTATTTGTAGAAGATCTACCTGAAACTTAAATGATAGAAAAGAGTTTAAAATAAAGAAAAGGGGCCAGGATATGGTACTGTAGTAATGCTCAAGAGAAACTGGATCCCTTGAAGGACCAGCAGTTAGTGTAATGGCTATTCGCTGGACTCCCATGTAGTTGACTGCAGTTCAAGTCCCAGACCCAGTGACTTAAACTCACGCCAGGCGCGTGTGCGTGTGTGTCCAAGATCCCAAGAGGAGAATGGAGGAAGGGGGGATTGCGGCATGGCCATACCTCTTGGGGAATGATTTCTCGCTTTCTGTCTCTCTGTCTTTCTGACACGCGCATGCGCCCTATAGCAAAAAAAAAAAAGAAAAGAGAGAGAAACTGGATCCCACATGGGCCTGCAGTTCAAATCCCCAGTCAGCCTAAAACCCTAAAATCACATGAAGGATACACGCCAGTGTCTAGGATTACATGGGTTGAAGCACCAGAGGAAGGGGATAATAGTGTGACCAGACTTTCTGTGGAAGATACTCATCTCTCTATCTCTCTCTCTCTCTCTCCCCCTTTCCCTTTCTCTGTTTCTCTCTCTCTCTCACATGTGCACACACACAATATTATCTTAATTTTTAAAAGTTCTTAAACATTTTTAAATTAAAAAAATTAAAGACACAAATACCAACAAACAAGATGGAAAAGGCTGTATTCATAACAAAAACTCATTCCTAAAGCAGCCCTAGAAAGATCTACCATATCATAGTTTGATACTCATAGATTGTGGGCAGCAGCTTGCCCAACATCACAATTCATTCATTCATTCATTCGTTCGTTCATCTGTTCATATATACATACATACATAAGTAAAAATAGGAACAAAACCCTGGTCCCTTAATTTTTACTGTTATCTGAGCTTTTGTGAATAAAATAAGACATGATCACAAGTCAGCCAAGCTAAGAAGTCTCAGGCTTACACGGGCATTCAGCAGTTTGCCTTACCCACCCCTGACTCCCCGCTTCGCCAGCCCCAGACTTAGCAGCACTTGTCTATTCCTAGACACAACCTCACAGGGCCCTACCATTTCAGAGATTATGTAGAGGGTGTAATCTGCACTATTCTGTAGTTCTGCTTTTGGTTTGGGGTAGTAAGATAAATTTTGTCTATATAGAAGTATTAAAGGGGCTGGGGCTGGCAGGTAGCATCGTGGTTAAGGTGGCTAGACTCCCAGATGGCTGACTGCAGTTTGAGTCCTGGACCTGAGAGGATTTTTGCTTTCTCACTTTCCTTCTAGATCTCTGTCACTCCCTGGTCAACTTCAAAAAAATAAAAAATAGAATAATGACAATGAATAAAAATTAAATAAAAATAATTCTTTTTTAAAAAAAAGAATTACTTAAAATTTAAAACTAGTCATGGGGACCAGCAGTTAGCATAATGGCTAAGTTGCTGACCTCCCATATAGTCAACTGTGGTTCGAGATCCGGACCCGGTGGCTTAAACTCACTCCGGGCACATGTGCATGCGTGCCCAAGATCCCGAGAGGAGAAATAAGGAGAAGGGACTGCAATGTGGCCATCTCCCCTAGGGGGTTATTTCTCGCTTTCTGTCTCTCTGTCTCTGTCTTTCTGGCAAGTGCAAGTGCCCTAAAAAAAAAAAAAAAAAAAAAAACAAACTAGTCATGAACACTTTATAAGTATAGTATTTCCCATAAAAATATGAGCTATAACTTCTCTTGAAAGAGGACCCAGGCTGCCCTGGTATGGGATTTCCACACAGCAGCCAGCAGCCAGTGCTAAACATGAGCTCCCCCTGCACTGGCACATCCTCCCCACGGGCCGCAGCTATAGCTATACAGGCACTGCTTTGTTCCCATGGTGATACTCGCCACTAAATCTGTATCCTGGGCTGCGTTCCCTATAGTCAAACACTGAGACATGGATTCTAATTCAAGTGACTTACTGGGGGAGTGTGTTTGGGAGCAGAGACTTGAGGGAAACAGGCTAGGACAAGGGCACAAAGCCAAGCAAGGATGTGGTCTCAGCTGAAGACCAGCTTCAGTCTGGTCCCAGGTAAGCTCTGGGGGGCACATAGCAATGCAAAGCTAACTCCATCTTGAGGTGAGGGGGTGGGGGTTGGGAGGGAGTGGAGATCCTGGGCTATTGGGCTCCTATTTGACTTTGGGCAATTCTCCAGGAAAGGGGGCGGCTGTGCATCCTTAGCATGGGGCTTAGTAAATGGATCTGGGCAAGGTGCTAGCAGCATTCGTGGCATCGTGTCTCCATTAAACAAAGGGGAATAAAAGCTAGAGGGCAGGGCTACTTGCTCAAATAACACAAGAGAATGTATATCTTTGTGGATGTATAGAAGATTCCTACAAGTTTAGTATTCGAGCAAGTGTGAACATTGGGTGACCACACTCCTAGGTGACCTTCCCAGACCCTTGTATACACCTGCATTTGCCCTTGGATTACATTATGGTTCCCTATTTAAACTCAGTCTGTGCTTCCCCAAGATTCTCCAGGGAACCAGATGTTCAAGGTTAACTGGGCAGGGATAAAAGGTTGGTTTGTTGTTGGTCTTTGTTGTGTTGTGTTTTATTGTTTTTTTTTTAAGGTTATTTTATTTTATTTAGCTTTTTTGCCACAGGGCACATGTACTTAATCAGAGAGAGACAGAGAGAAAGGAAAAGTAAGAAGTCATCCCTCCAGGGTATGGCCATGTCACAATCCCTTCTCTTCTATTCTCCTCTCAAGATTTTGAGGACACACACATACACGCCTGTCGTGTTTTCAGGCCACTGTATCAAGGACTCAAACCATGGAGCTGGCCATCTGGGATCCAGCACCTTAACTGCCACACCAACTGTTGGCCCAAGATGCTGGTTTTTTTAGGGATTACTGAAGACTACACTAAAACACCAAGCAGTAGTTTGGGGATAAAAGGAAAAGGACAGAGAAACACATTCACACGTGGTCATTACTAAGTCCGTCACACCACAAGCAGAGGTCACTACTGTGATAACTAACATGTAGCCTCCCTTACAAGGACATAAAACAGCTCTTTGAAAATCAATAGTGAGCTTACCAAGAATAAATATAAACACTTAAACAAAGGTTAACATGAAGACGGTATTTTTTAAGTCAGAGAATATAGTCTCATAATCTGAAAATGTATCATAGATTTGTGCTAGTGGATCAATAACAGGAGAAAAAAATCAGATTAAAAAGTATGGAGGTTATTGACTATCAGAGGTTACGTACCTCAGAACTGGACAGCCCCGAATCTCTATCATCTAAGTCCTTCAAAAGTTCGAGCAGCCTTCTCTTCTCTCTGTCAATCATAACCACTGGATTTCTTGAATCCTTGGCCAACTATGGAATTTATTAACATAAAACAAAACAATTCATAGCTCAAGAAAACAAAAATGGGACCTGCGGCTTCTACAATATAGATACACTAAAGCAAAATTTCTGAAATCTGGGATTTTACATTTGCCAGGTAGTTTTATTCTCTGACAAATTGTTTACATAGGGCCATTCTCCAAGCAAAGATATTTCCACTATAAGCAGGCCCTCTTGTTAACTATTTCAACAAATATTTTATTTAAAAAATAATAATAATAGGGGCCAGCAGGTGGCATGGTGGTTAAGGTGCTGGACACTCCCACATGGCTGACCACGGTTCAAGTCCTGGACCTGGTAGCTTGCTTTCTCACTTTCTCTCTTTCTGTCTCTCTCTGTCAAATTAAAAATAAAGTGAATGAATAAATGAAATTTAATAAATAATTTTTTAAAATAATAATAATAATAATAACATGCTAGCAGGTGGTGTAGAGGTTAAGGTGGCTGGATCTCACACAGCCAACTGTGCAGTTCGAGTGGCTTCAAAATCATGCTAGACATGGGACCAGCAGTTAGCGTAATGGCTATGTCGCTGGACTCCCACGTAGTCGACCGCGGTTTGAGTCCCGGACCCGGTGGCTTAAACTCACGCCGGGCGCGTGTGCGTACGTGCCCAAGATCCCGAGAGGAGAATGGAGGAGAAGGGATTGCGGCGTGGCCATCCCCCCTGGGGGGTGATTTCCTGCTTTCTATCTCTCTGTCTCTCTCTGTCTGTCTGGCGAGCGCACGCGCCCTATAGCAAAAACCTCTCACAAAAAAAAAAAAAAATCATGCTAGACATGTATGTGTGTGTACCTAAAATCCCAAGAGGAGAATGGAACACAGGGGACTGTGGTACAGCCACTCCCCTAGGGGATGATTTCTCATTTTCTCTCTGTCTCTCTTTGGCAAGGCACATACCCTTTAACAGAATTAAAAATAATAATAATAATAATAAAATATGAGTAGTTTATATAATTCACTTTATAATATATATCTATATCAATACAAAAATATATTTGCTAAGACATTTGGAAGGAATCCTTTTGCTACTTGCTCTGGGCATATATTCATTAAATGAAATAGAAATTTATATTTAAATTTCAAGAATATCAGACAGATAAGGAAGTTAAATAAAGATTCAATTACTATTGTGAAAGTGGGGAAGGAAAATCTGTCATGGAGCTGCCATTTATGTCAACAAGAATTGAGATATGGGGGGAAGCTCTACTGTTCTTAGAAAATTAAGCAATAAATCAACATATGATGGACCAATGCAAAGAGATCAGGTTAGAGAAGATTTCCTGAAGATCATATAAACATGCAGCACAGAAAAACTGCAGGAGTGAGAGGCTGGTCCCGGCAATGGCAGGCTGATCTACAAATTCAGTCTGCCTGGAAATGAGTTTAAGTTTTCTAGTGACTACCTGCCCAAGTTTGCCATGAGCTTCTGTCTTCCCTACTTATCTTTCTTGTTGAAAAGTCATTAATTAGCATTCTGGTCTAATACAGAAGCCCCTGTGCCCTTGGTAAGTCTGGATATGACTTAAGTAAACCAAGTTAGGCTGTAGGGCCTGCAAGACCAAGGCCTGCAGCTAGTCACGGCCATGACCAGCTGCCAGGAGGCTCGCTGGAGACAGGCAACGGTTGGCCTCTCCAGCTCACCCTGGCTGCTCTGCCAGGAGCATTTTCCATCCAAAGTTCTAAATGCACCAGCTATAAAATCCTTTAAAAAATCAATTTTACTAATATGCAATTTAAAATCTGGGAACACTGTCCAAAGCTATTATTCAAAAAAATGTTTCCAAGCAGCAAGAACCAAAACTATTTCTTGGTAATAGTTGCAGCTACCATTTTTAAAAAGAGAGATAAAGGGGAGAGGAAGAGAGGACAGAGGACAGAGGAAAATTGAGAAGAGTGAAGAGGGGAGGGGAGAGAACAAGGCAAAGCCAGGGAAGACTATAATGGGATAGAAAATAGAAAATAGTGAAGATAATAAAAGCACTGACTTAAAAAACTTTCAGTTATATCTACTTTATACAATTTATAAAATTATATAATACATACATATTTTGTATAATTTATATAAACATTTATCATAGTAAATAGAAAAAAATATTTAAAGACACTGACTATAACTATTACCATTTTCACAACTCATTTAGTCCGAAACTCTGGCTCTGAATTTCTAAGTACATACCTGAATGTTCCGCTTAATAAAATCCTGGTTGTGTTTACCCCTGAGCTCAATCTTTTCTGCATTTGAGAAAGGTTTCTTTTCTGCATTGATCAATGACTCATTTCTTTCCACACCATAGGTAAAATCTAATATTAAAAAGTTCAAAATGTTTTCATAATTATAATTGTCAATTATACCAAAAATTGAGTTTAAGCATATATTAAAATATATACAAGAAATAAAACACACATAGAAGAATGAACTTCCCAATTCCATATACAGAAACCTAACATATATGTAGTATATGTAGACGTATTCTCTTTTTTTGTAGTTTTGCTATAGGCTGTGTACACTTGCTGGAAAGACAGCAAGAAAGTGAGAAAACACCCCATAGGGGGAATGGCCACACCACAGTCCTTTCTCCTTCATTCTCCTCTCAGGATTTTTGGGCATGCACACAGCATGTTGAATTTCAAGCCACTGGGTCTGGGACTCAAACTACACAGTCAGCCATATGGGATTCAGCCACCTAACCACCATACTACTGATTGGTTCTACTTCTTTTGGTGAGTGTCCATCTTAGATATAACATACATTATGTTTTCCCATAATTCAAGTTGCACGTAGCCTCTTTAGTTGAAATATGAAGCTCATTTATTCAATTAAAGTTTCATATACTCTTAAATAATACAACATTAAAATGCCTCAAATACAGTCATGTCTACATTTAAAATAGGGTTTCTTTAAAATATACTTCCAATAAGTTGTACAGGAAAAAACACTGGATTAACAGGCCAGAACTGCCTCACTAGAAATGTCCTCTTTTCCTCTCCCGCCTGGCACTGATACACCAGGAGCCACCATGATCCTACCAGGACCAATACTTGCAGGGATGAACAAATGGGTTGGATAGGTAGGCGGCTGACCCAGGCTCTTAGAAACCAAAGAAAACTGTCTACTTACAGATCTTTTCAATAATTTTTTTTAAAGACAGGATCTCATTGTAATGAGCCTCCTGCCTCAGCTTCTCAGCTGAGACCATGAACACACATCACCACAACCAGCTCTTTTTAAGACAGGCCCAGACCACCCTCAAGCTCATAATCCTCCCACCCAGCATCCCAAGGCGTTAGGATTGCAGATGCACAGCAACACATACAACATTAGGTTGGACCAGTAATCAAACCCAGGCCTCCCATGTGGTCCCAGCCTGCAGAGCAGTAGTGCCTTGGGTCAAATTATATCAAATCATTTCATCTATGAATGTTTCTATATACAGCTAGTATTCCCTAGTGACATATACAAAATCACACAAATTAAAACATACCTTGCTTGATATTCTGCATACGCCTTTCATAGTCCGCTGGAGGGACCTGAGTGTGAAATACTGAGAAGAAGGTGTCTTCATCCTCATAATGAGAAGGATCTGTTGGTTAAGAAAGAATGTGTTCAATACTCACGAAATGAATAAGGAATTACCTACATGGCCATTAGAAAAGAGAGGATTTAATACTCCCTTCAATATTTCTCAATTCCCTCCATGCACACAAGTTTCTTAAGACATCATCAATGTCACTTTCAAGTAGAAATGACCATCATATTTGTACATGTGAGACACTGAAACAAATTACAGAAGTCAAAATAGTCAAACGACACTAATATCAGAGAAATGCAAATCAATACCACTGAGATATCTCACACCTATTAAGATAGGTATTAACAAAAAAAAGAAAAAGAAATAAGTGTTTGCATGAATGTGGAGAAAAGGGCACCCTCGTATAGTTGTCCTTCAGTATCTGTGAAAGATTCCCAAACCTCCATACATACTGAAATCCACGCATGCTGAAATCCCTTAAACAAACTGGCATAGTATTTACATAAAAACTATGCACATCCTCCTGTATACTTTAGAATTTTTTGTTTTTTTGGTTTTTGTTTGTTTGTTTGTTCTGCTAAAGGATGAGTGAATTCACTGGAGAGACAGAGAGAGACAGACAGAGAGCAAGAAATCACCCTCAGGGGTGATGGTCACACCCCAATCCCTTCTCCTCCATTCTCCTCTTAGAATCTTGGGCATACACGCACATGTGCCCAGTGTAAGTTTTAAGCCGCCCGGTCCAGAACTCGAACTGCAGTCAACTACATGGGAGTCCAGTGATATAACTATTATGCCATCTGCTGGTCCCTCTCCTGAATACTTTAAATCTACCCTAGATTACTTATAATACCTAATACAATATAAATGCTATATAAATAGCTGTTATATTGTTCATGGAATAATGACAAGAAAAAAACACACTCAGTACAAATGCGACCAGTATTTTTCAAGTATTTTCAGTCCACAATTGGCTGAATCTGCCAACATGGACAGGTCATTGCACACTGTTTATGAGAATGTAGAGACTGGTACAGCTATTATGGAAAATGGTATGGAGGTCCCCAAATAGATAAAGAAAAAAATTACTATATGGTTCAGCAATAAATCCCTTTTCTGGGTATATATGCAAAGGAAATGAAATCACCATCTCAAAAATATGCGCACCCCAATGCTCACTGTAGCATTACTTATAATAACCACAACATGTAACAAATCTAGAGGTCCATAAATGAACAACTGGAACAATGGAATATTATTCAGCCTTGAGAAAGAGACCCTGCCATTTGGCACAACATGAATGGACCTACGGACATTATTATAAGTGAAATAAACCAGAAAGAAGAGTATTGCATAATCTCACTTATATGTGAAATCTCTTTTTACATCAAATATACAGTGATAGAGAATAAAACAGTGGTTATCAAGGATAGGGAAGGAGGATAGGAATGGGAAATGTAGGTCAAATGACACAAAGTAGCAGACACGTAGAAATGAATTTTGTCTAAAGATGTGTACAAAAAAAATGTAGTGTACAACATGAGAACCATAGTCATTAACAGGGTATTATACTCAGGATTTTTGCTAAATGAGTAGATTATAGCTGCTCTTGCCACAAAGAGAGGGGGACAGCTATGTGCGATGATGGATAGGTATATTTGTTCCACTGTACTAACCATTTTACTATAAATATTTATCTCATAACATCATGCTGCATATCTCGAATACATAAAATTTATTTTAAAAAATATCAAAACCATGACTAAAACATTGTAAAGTTCTATATTAGCTTTTAAAACATAGGGCTTATTAAAAATTCTGGAGAATAGGGAAAGGCACTGTCATTCCCTAAATGACCATTAAATCACTGAGAAAATAAAAATACGGCAACAGCTATGAAGAACATGGACAAAGATGACATCACACACACAAAAGAGCCATGAAAGAAAATAATTGCTAGGTTGGAATTTATTATAATTAAATTTTTCTCTACAAAAGACCTTATTAAAAGAATGAAAAGACAAGCCACAGACTGGGAGAGAAACATCTGCAAAATACATATCTAATAAAGGACTTGTCTTCAAAATATACAAAGAACTCTCGAAAGTCAACAAGATAACAGACAAGCCAATTATTAAAATGGCAAAAGATCCAAAAAGACATCAGTAAAGAAATATACAAATGGCAGGTAGCCTATAAAAAAGTGCTTACTATTTGCTTTCAGATAAATTTAAATTAAAACAACAATGATGGGAACCAGCAGGTGGCATGGGTCGGTAAGGCTCTGGACACTCCCGCGTAGCTGACCACAGTTCAAGTCCCAGACTTGGTGGCTTGCTTTCTTACTTTCCCTCTCTCTCTCTTTCTCTGGTCAAATTAAAAAATAAGTGAATGGATAAATAAATTTTATATATATATATATATATAAAATATATATATATATTTTAATGACATACCACTATTACCTATTAGAATGGCTAAAATTAAAACCACCAACAGTACCAATTCCTTCAAGGATGTGGAACAATAGAACTCTCATTCATTGCTCATGGAATGCAAAACGGTACAGCCACTTTGGAAAGCAGATGGTAGTTTCTTACAGTTAAACAGTCCTAGCTGCTATTGTGTTCCTAGATATTAATCCAAATAAGTGAAAATTTATATCTACATAAAAGACTGCACCAAAATGTTAATAATGGCTTTATTCATAATTTCAAAAATGAAAGCAATCAAGATCTTTCAATATATGAAAGGATAAACAAACTGTGGTACCTCCACAGAATGAAGTATTAGATAGTAACAAAAAAAAAAAAATGAGCTGGGACCAGCAGTTGGTGTAATGGCTATGTTGCTGGACTACCATGTAGTTGACCATGGTTCGAATCCTGGACCCAGTGGCTTTAAACTCATGCCAGGTGCATGTGTGTAAGTGCCCAAGATCCCAAGAGGAGAATGGAGGAGAAAGTATTATGGTGTGGCCATCCCCCCTGGGGGGTGATTTCTTGCTTTCTGTCTCTCTGCCTCTCTCTGTCTTTCTGGCGAGTGCATGTGCCCTTTAGCACAAACCTCTCCAAAAATAAAAGAAAGAAATGAGCTAACAAGCCACAAAAACACACGGATGAATCTTAAATGTATATTGCTAAGCAAAAGAATCCAGTCTGAAAAGGCTATATACTTTATAGTTCCAGTTATACAAGAGGCAAAACTATAAGAACAGTAAAAAAAAAATAAGTGGTGGCTAAAACTATTTTGTTAAAATATTGTAGCAGTGGATACATGCATTTTATATTTTTGAAAACCCATATACCTTCACAGTATAAATAATGAAAAGTAATGTACACAGATTTTAAAAAAAATCATTTAGGAAGTTGAGGAATCCCAAGATGGAATGCAAAATGTGACCGAACATTCTATTACAAATGTGTGAAGCCATCTCACTGAGGGGAATGGGGAGCAGGGGCGGTGCTCACATAAGGAAATGAGTATAGTCCGCTAGACTAAAGGCAAGGGGAACCAATTCAGCACTGTATTTGAGCTGATTAAGCTGGTTCCCCTGGGATACAGGTTAGCCCTCTTCATGTATAGGGCAGCAACAGATGGCAGAGGGGAGAAACCAGGTTCCTCACTGTTGGAGTAGAAGGTCACAGATAAGCAAGGTGAAAGGCTAGAATGATCCATGTGGTAATAAAGTGAAGTCAGAGACACCGATATGAACTTAGGCTTAGTCGGATATATACGCAGATGGTTACATGTCCACACGTTTATTGATATGTACACAAAGGGTTAATACACAAACACATATTGCCTTGCTCAGAGGGCCTAGAATCAAGAACTCCCTCGCAGCAACAATCACATCTGGCATCCAGATATTGGTTTCTAATATCACTCTCTAATAAAAGAAATCTGGCTTCTTGGAGAAGTGGCTGATTTTAAAATAGATGGGTCTGGAGCACCTTGGAGTACCAAAAATAAGAAAATGCTCAACAGTGACAAAACAAAACCCACAGTGATGGAGTGATGCCGAAGGGACATAGCAGCCAAGTGAAAGAGGTCCCGGTACCCCAAGCCAGAAAATTCTGCACAAAAAAAATAGCATAGTATTGGATTGTGATCCAAAGCATAAAATAAATATCTACAAGTCTATACTGATCGAATAAATGACTAAATAAACAAATACATGAAAGTAGATAAAACTCCCATGCACAATAAACCAAAATAACTTAAATAAATATCCAGCCTTCATAACTCTCCTCTCTTTACGTGGGGATGCACATAGTAACTTCCTTCCAAAAGGTACAGTATGGAAAAAGCGGGGGGAACACAGTAGCTGTACAGTGAAAAAACCTGACAAAGACTTCCTCGGCCAGGTGGTCGAACTTAACATCCACAGTGATGTTATGTTGATGGTATGATGTAATGTTATGAAAAAGGCACTATAACTGTGTGGTTTTTCCTCCTAAAAATACATCATCTCTTGGCCAGTCAGTGTTGTAGTAGTTAAGGCAGCTTGATCCCACATGACCGACTGCATGGTTTAAGCCCTGGACCTGGTAGAGAAACGTACCAAGCACATGTGCACACATGCCCAAAATGAAAGGAGGGAAAGATAGAGGAGAAAGGATTACAGCATGACCATTCCTCATGGAAGAATGGCGCTCGCACTCGCTCACTCACTCGCTCGGTCTCTCTCTCTTTCTTTCTCTCCTTCCTTCTCTCCCTCCCTCCCTCTCTCCGCCTCCTTCTTTCTCTATTTTTCCCCCCGCTCTCTCTACCTTCCTCCATCAAGCACACATACCCTTTCATAAATTCTTTAAAAATAATAATAATAGGGACCAGCAGTTGACGTAATGGCTATGTCACTGGACTCCCATGTAGCCAACCGCAGTTCAAGTCACGGACCCGATGACTTGAACTCACACTGGGCACATGTACATGCATGCGTGCCCAAGATCCCAAGAGGAAAGTAGAGAAGGGATTGCAGCGTGGCCATCCCCCTAAGGGGTGATTTCTTGCTTTCTGTCTCTGTCTGTCTCTGTCTTTCTGGTGAGCAC